CCGTTGCTGCTGCTGCTGCTGCTGCTACTGCTACTGCTATGTTTTTTCTTCGGCATTGTTAAACTCATTCCTACAGCTTATTATCATCTTTGTCGTTGTCATTATCGACATCATTTCTTTGTTTCCTTTTAAACCCCCTCCCGAAAAAAAGAAAAGAAACTCTGTTTGTTAAGGTTTTATTCAAGGAAAGAAAGTGAGAATTATTGTTGCTGTTGATGTATCTGCTTTTTTCTGTTTGCTGCTATTGAAATTTTTTATGTTACCGTATATTATTTTAGTCTTCAGTGTTTGATAGATTAAAGCGGCATAAAGCAGAACTTAGTTTTGACTTTTGTATGAACCAATTAAAACAAAAAAAAAAAGTGACAGATTTTTTGGACCATATCTTATTTATAGTACCGTAATTACAAATTTTGCAATACGTTTATCAGTTGATTTCTTACCACTTTTTTCTCCAGATGCAACCGTTTATTATTTTGACCATTTTTTCTCCTTTTTTCTTCTGCAATATACGAACAAATAGATCCTCACTGAAATTGGTAAGCTGACGCTCAACGTGGCTTCGGGTTCAGCGGGTTTCAGCCGATCAAAAATCATCCGTATTACTCGCTATCTTCAACCGTTTTATAGTGGAAAACGAAAGAAAAGAAATTTTTTTTCGACAAGCATTTGAAGTTACAGATGAATCAAATAGCTCTGTCATTTTGTTGAGAACGGATGTCTTGTTTTCTTTCTGATTCTTTTTTTCTTCTTCGTTTTCTTTCATTCAATTTTCACGAAAGCTTTTTTTTTAGTGCAACAATTTTTTCACTCTCCATTCATTCTCACAACGATAAAGCAGGTGTTTTCAACAACACAACAGCAGCATTTACTTTTTTCTTTCACTCTACTCTCTTTCCTGTCCTGTAACATTCTTTTACTACAAACAATGCAAATTTCACTTCTGCTTTAGCTGTGGAATTTACGTTGTTTTATTTATTTGTGTTCAAAATGGAGCAAGGCTGAAAAAAAAAAGAAAGAGAAACGGAATTTTTGTTTTGTCTTATTTTTTTTTTAATTAAAAACTGAAGCCGAAGAACTTCAAATGACATGTTGGAGTTGATGCAGCTTAAAATTTCTTTTAATGAGGCTAATTTTGACACTTCTTTTTTTTTTTTTTTTTTTTCAGCAGAAAAGGCATTTGATATAAATAATTATCCTCTTTGTTTGGTTATTCGGTGATTAAAAATGTGTTCTTTTATTTTGTAATTGATAGTAAAGCTATTAAGTAACAGACAGACTGAACAAAGTAGTTACGTGACTTTTCTTTTAGGTGCTGGATGGGAATATTGGTCAAGAAACTGAGAGGCGCTTCAACAACTTCTTCGTCAGCTACTTCCATTCTTTTTTAATTTGAACACTGTTGACTACTGTTCACTTTGGTGCTTCAACTGAGAACCGAATCGAAGGAAAATAGCAGAAAAGAAAAACGAGGAAACGCAAGAGAAGCTCGGAAGGAAGTGCTCAAGTTTTGTGAAGTGCAGAAAGACTTCGGTCTAAGTTTAGAATGTCGCGATATGAGCTCGGTTCTGCTGCTGAACAGGCGTCTGTCAAATGGCCACATGAAGCACTCTCACAACTAGGAATCCATGCTACTCAAGTTCGCATTTGATTCGTTTTCCTCGTCTGCTTTTTTTTTTCAATTTAGTAAAAAAATTAGTCTGTGGAAATTAAATTTCAACGATTACTTTTTGACGGCAGAGCATGGCTTTTTTAAATACGTAGCAGTAGGAATCTTTTCTCAAACAGTTTGCTGGAGTAGTCGGAGTCTCTGAGCGTTCAAAGAACTGTTAGCATTAATTAAGCTCCTTTCTTAATATGACCAGTAAAGTTCTGTTTTTTAGCGTTTCACGGATGCAGCACCGTCGAGCTTCCACCAGATTCCACAGAGTCAAAGTATACAGTTACCGACACTGCCATCGTATGGAAATTTCCAGACATCAAGTAGTGGCGCAACGGGCGGCTTATTTCGTTCAAGCGGTTTCCAGCAACCACAACCTCAGCCTGGCCTAATAGCACCTGCACAACAAAATCACCACGACGTACAAAAGTTGCTAGCACAATTAAATACCTCTGGTGTTACCCCGCAACAGCTATCCCAGTTTGTAGCATCACAGCAGTCATTTCTCTCAACCGCTGATGAAGCGAAATTGCTAGAGTTTCGGAAGTTGCTGTCAGACTGGCCGAATAACTCGAGTAAGCTGGCCGAACAAGTCTGGCAAAATGCCGCTATTGGAAACTGGTTGCAACAGCAGCAAGAACAGCAGAAACTGAGAAACGAAAAGATTACGGGAACCAGCAATGGAATTACCCCGTCTGAAATGCAGTTACAGCTATCACTGGCAGCTGGAAATGTAGTTGTAAATGGTCAGTCTACGCTAGCCAAATTCACGCAAAATCAGGACGACTCTCAGCTTCAGGCACTTCTAAGTCCAACTGCTTTAAGTAGAAGTCAGTCTTGTGGGCTGCCGATACCTCAGGGTATAATTTCACCTCAACCGGTCCGTGCCAAATCGGGGTTTATTTCACCACAACCTGAATCTCAGTCAAAGAGTCATTTGACTCTACCCGTAGATGCGTCGACATTAAGCCGCTCACACACTGCCAGTGAAAGTTCCAGTTGTCAAGAGCAGTCTTCATCCTCAACGGTTGTGGAGGAGACAGTTCATGTGAGCGAGTCGGAAACAACGGAAGGAGACGCAAATGTAACAACTTCAGAAACTCGTGTAGCAAACGAGTCTGAAGAGAGGATGACTGAAGACGGCACCAACGATCACGATGGGTGTTCGGGAACAGAGGATAAAGTCAACGAAGACGATGCTCGTAGTGGCATGAAGAAACTGGAAAATGATCAGGAAATGGAAGTGGCGAAGAAGGAAATTGATTACGGTGAACCAGTAGTCAGCCAACCACTAATGAAATCGGTGTTAGATCTCGGTATGTGTTAAGGAATTGCTTCTCAGAGTATATGCTTCAACCAGTTATTTTTAATATGATTTCCTTTGTTTATTCGCTGTCGGTATCGAGCTATAAGAATTTAAAAATCTCGTAGATATACATTGGGACTTTCAACCAAAACTCGAATTTGCTGCGCGTTGTTCCATAACGGTTTGGAACTATTCATTTAGTTGCATTTGGGTAACCTGAGGAAATTTCAGATACATTGTATGATAGGTCTACTCATTTTGTTTTTAAGTTATACCAAGTAGTTAAGGTTTGAGCAACACTTTTATTTTGCATGTCCTTCCTAAGCTGACGTCTCCGCGATCGTTATACAAAAAGGAAGATGAAGTGAATACTGTTTCAGTATTTTAATTTCGTTACAGAACTACCAGAATTAGTTCTCTGCAGTAATTGATTTTATATGCATCCAGCTATACGATTAAAACAAACACTTCCGCTTTATTTGTCAGTAATAATTTGTTTTGGCAAAATATGCCACTGGTTAGGGTCGTTCAGTTGAGTTCTGGTATCTGGCTGAGTAAGGTTGTTAAGGTGCTGACGATAATGAAACCGCAACAGTGAACGCAGGTAACTCGGAAGGAAATGATTCGCATGATGGAACGCCGATGGATTGCAACGATGAGGAAGGGAGGCCGAGTTCAGCACAGTCCACGACTGCTGAACCAAACGAAGTTTCTTCGTCAAGGTGACTGATTTTTTGGAACATTTTTTTAATTTGATTTTTTGAAGCAGAAGAAAAAAACGCCAACGAAAACAAAGAGCCTTTTGTCGTTCTGGACGGACAAAGTTATTTGTTGCGTTGAAGACTAATCGTATTTGCATGTGCTTTTCTTTTTTATGGCGTACGCATAAGTAAAAGAATAAAAAAAAAGAAAGGAAAGAATAAAAAAAGAAGCGAAAAAAGATGAAAGATCTATGAATGATGCTTTCCAGCACTTATTATTGAAATGGTGGATAACCAATATTTTGAATGCTATTGATAGTGAATGACTATGAAAGTGAATTATGTACGGCGTCGACATGATGACCAGCAGAAAATAATCGGATGAAGTTTAAGCAGAGAAACAATTATTAACTTTTTAATTAACTACAGAAAAAAAAAGTATTTTTTTGAAATACTAGAATACTGGAGGAGAAAAAGTACGTTAGCTGATCAAAAACCAAATTGCTATAGTTCAGTTTTAAATTGTAATTTTGATCTATCAGAAAAAAAACGCAAATTTCTCAGCAATTTTTTTGTTTACAATGGCCCATATGGTTACCACTTTGTTAATTTCAGTCCCAATAATTTATTCTTATTGACATTCAGGTTTAAGCATTGTGGTTTTTTTTTTCTGGCTTCATGAAGAATAATTAAAAAAGCTGTTCTTTGTTTTTTTTTTTTTTTTTTTTTTTTTTTTTTT